CCCCAAAACCCCAAAACCCCAAAACCCCAAAACCCCATTAAGCAGAATTTTATTTTATAAGAGTTTAATTAAATTATTTAGAGTATTTTAATATAATGGCAACTGACCTAACAAAATAAAAAAGGTAGCAATAAGAAAACGAAAGAAAGCGTTCTTATGTGGAGGTGGGCAAGAGCACTCTGAATCAGAGTATGGGTGGTTAGTCTGGGGTGATGAAGAGTAACCCTAGCAATCAAGATGTTGGTATGTCAGTCGGTAGCATGCCAAGCAGAGGGCATTTAGGTGTGGGTGCTCATTAATAGCAGGCAAATAATCAGAATAATCTATACGCACAGAGCAAATAAAACTAGCTCTTCGACAAAAAGAATGATCCCAATTTCCCAACTCCACTTGAGATTGAACAGTTCTAAAGCTAATGTAAGTTCAAAAAATTTAAAATTTACATCGATTTGACTAAACATTAATAGTAAACTCTGAGAGAATAAAAAGTCTCAGCACTCGATTTAAGAATGAGAGAAGTACTCTAAACAGTAAGTTACACATTACATCGTATGATAACGCTATCTGTAGCAACAATAAAGTTCACTGATTTTAAGAAGATACTAGATGAAGAATTTAAAACAAGCAGCAAACCAGCTGATACACTTACCTCCTATATGTTTGAAAGTATGTTACAGGTGAAATAGCTCAATTAAATATACTGTAGGATTTAGGAAGTTTAAATTCAATGAAAGTGGAAGTGATATTGACAAGAAACAGGATATGGATATATTAGATTTTCTGCTTGCTATGAATTTACTTGCTAGAATAGTCTACGACAAGAAACTAAAATGTAGTTGTTCTGGTTTTATTATAAATAGTGATGTTTGAGCTTTGTGACGATGATGATGATGGGTGCATGAGACCTGCTGAGATTCTTCAAATGCTCTAAAGAGTAGAACGAATATTTGCGAGAGAATGTTCAAGAGTTGAACTGCAATCATCAGTACTGATTCATCAGATAGCTGATCAAAAAGCTGAGTAAAACTTTCACTTTATTATGGGCATGATCAAGCATTAAAACATTAAGAAGCAGCAGGAATAAGCAAAAAGAGAGCAATCACAGAAAGATATTAAGAACTCTCAGGGAGGTGGAGCAGGTGGTGCTGTAGACTCTAAATAGGCTGTTGGCGAAGGTATTATTTCATCAACTTATGATTTAGATGAGGATAATCTTATTACTTATCGAGAATTCATGAGTGCTATTAAAGGTCTGAAGAATTCATTGTACAAGTCGATTCTACCAAGAACACTATCATTTGTGTATGATTATATTGAATTATATAATTACTTTGCAGAGATGTGTTGAGCATTGTAAAGAAGGAGGAAGATTATAAGATATCAGATGTTCAGTAGGATGACTTCACTATGTTTAGGTATGAGCTTAACTCTATATTCAGAAAGCATCACTTCATAGATGAGGGTCACTCTGAAATGTTTGGAGGAAAGCACCCACTTAGTAAAGTTGGAGGATAGTAACTGAAAGATATTCCAAATGATGCTAAGAAAGAATATCTTGAGATGTATAGACCTCCAGGAATTATCAAAACAATTGAAACAGCTATCAATGCTAAGACTCTTTTGGAAGATAAAGTTGTGAACACAGTACCAATGAGAAATCTATATAGAAGGGGGAAGGATGAGAAGAAAGATGAAAGAAATGAGAGAATTATGGGCAACACAATTAGTGGTTAAGGTGCAGCTCAGGCTTATAATGCTGGAAATGATTAGAAAGGTATTACTCAAAAGTACTAGGAAGTGTTCTAAGTTCATGTTAGGCCAGAAAATCCAAATGGACTTAACTTTTAGGAACTCTATTAGGAGAATCTTCCGCCAGAAGCTCGGGAACTTGATGACTATGTGAAGAAATTTAAAGATAAAGACACCTCTAAAGACAAGGAAATTTAGAGATATCAGAACAATGCAAAGGAAAAGTTGAGAAGAGTTTAGAACCTCGTCCCTGAAAACAAAATATAAATAAGTGCGTTGAGATTAGAAGAAGATGCCGACTTTGGTGACCGAAGAGGCAATAAAATGATGAAGGCTATGAATGGACCTTTAGTCCTTAACCAGAAAATCAAGGATGAGGAGATGATTGAAAGGTTAAAGGATGAGTACGGAGATAAAAAGTGAGTTTATCTTTGACTTGATGATTGATACTTATACAAATCTTATTTTTAACTTAAAAACTATTTATTAGAATTATCCACCATTAATTATATATGAATTCGAACTAGTGTGAGTATCTCAATTCTTGAAATAGGATAATATGCCAAAAAAACTTGTGAGAGTGGTTGCATTTAACATAAAGTTTATAGGAAATTCCTAGGTCTCGTCCTTTCGCAGGGAGTTGCTAACAATCTCTCAGTTAAATTTACACATTGCTTTATCTCCCACACCTATTTATATTTTCATTTCTCTCTGATCTATTTTTCAATGGGTCACGGGGTTTTGGGGTTTTGGGGTTTTGGGG